AGTGTCCCTGGGCAAGACACTGAACCCCTCATAGCCTCTGATGTGTCCCATCAGTGTATGAATGTGATCTAAAGCACTGTGATCTAAGCACTCTTTAGAATGATTTGTTCAATTAACTTTGTAGAGATCTAGTAGAGTGCTGTATGAATGGGTAAATGAGGACACAGATTGTAGTGTAAAGCACTTTGAGCATCTTGAAATTAGATAGAAAGGCGCTATATAAGTACAATCCATTTACCATTTACCGGCTAAAGCTAAGGTGAAATACAATAAATTGTTATTCACATAGGTGAAAATGACACTCAGCTACACAAATCAGAGGTCACTAAAATTAATGTTGCTTCAGTTGTAACTTTGCATAAACTATGTCTGACTCCATAATTTTCTACAGCACCCTCCCCAACCTGACCATTGACGACATGTTTTGCCGTATGTCGGCTTTCAACCGCTGGGCATCCAGGTGGTGCTTTGAAAACAATGTAGGATTTGTAGACAACTGGAGTGCATTTTGGGGGAAACCCGGTCTGATGCGAAGAGATGGAATCTATCCCACTTTAAATGGAGAAGCACTTCTCTCAAAAACTTAGCTGATTCAGTTGAACATCCAAATGATTGACAACTAACAGTCCAGTCTAGAAATCAGTCCAAGAAGCAGACAAGCACTGTGTAGTCTTCCACAGATCTCTGCTGCTTCTCCTCTGTTACCCACCTAAAACCCCTTTCAAACAGTGCCAACTCACCCATGGCTCAATTTAAATAAACCAAAAATCAGCTCTAAAAATATAAAGCATAAAAATCTTATTAAAATAAACACAGTTACTTTACCAGAAAAAAAAATCTTATTAAAATAAACACAGTTACTTTACCAGAACAAAAGTATAAAATTATTAAATGTGGTTCAATGAACATCAGATCTCTTTCCTCTAAATCCCTGTTAGTTAATGAACTGATAACTGATCATCATACTGATTTATACTGTCTGACAGAAACCTGGCTAAAACAGGAAGATTTTGTTAGTAAAAATTAATCCACTCCACCTAATTATTTAAATTTTCATATTCCTAGAACAACTGGTCGAGGCAGAAGTGTAGCTTATATTTTTCAGTTGGGACTATTGATACTAAACCAATTATTAGTTATAATACTTTTGAGTCACTGTCTCTAAGGCTATCCCTTCCAAAATGGAAAACGAAATGGCCACTCTCTCTAGTTGTTATATATCATCCACCAGGCTCCTATGCTCAGTTTTTGTCTGAATTCTCAGATTTCTTAACTGACTTACTACTAAATACTGATAAAGTCATAATAATGGGTGATTTCAATATTCATGTAGGCGTTGAAAATGATAGCTCAAACATAGCCTTTAAAAATTTAATAGAATCAATTGGTTTTACCCAAAATGTCCGCAAGCCTACTCATCATCACACTGTTGACCTGGTTCTGATTTATGGCATAGAGATTAAAGACTTAGTAATACATCCCCCAAATCCTGTTCTGTTTGATCATTTTTAATAACCTTTGAGTTTACTTTAGACTACACACTCACTGAGAGTAAATTTCATCTTGGCAGGTGTTTATCAGAAAATGCTGTAACCAAATGTAAATATTCCCTTCCATCTTATTCCTCTGTTATGCAGAGTAATATATCTGAGAGAAAGTGACTTAGATAATCTGGTTGATAAATTTACAACTTCTTTGCAAACTTCACTGGATAAAACTGCTTCGCTGAAAAAGAAAGTAATTAATCAGAGGAAACTGGCTCTTTGGTTCATTTCTGAGTTACGTACTTTAAATTTTAAAACAGGCATCTAGAAAGTTGGAAAAAAAATGGCACTCCACCAACACTGTTGGCAATGCAGTTTTACTTAGCTTGGAGAGATAGTCTGCTAATGTACTTTGTATAAAAAGGCGCTCTGTAATGCTAGAATTTTATATTATTCATCTTTAATTGATGAGAATAAAAATAACCACAGGTTCATTTTCAGTACCATATCTAGTCTTTTTTTTCCAAACTTTTATTTTAAAATTTCAATTTTTTTCTTAACATGACATTTAAATAAACAAAACAAAAAAACAAAACAAACAAGCAACCTCCACTTTAAAAAAAAGGACCAAGAAAAAACAAAATAAAATCTTGCCAACATAGAAAACCAAAAAAGAAAAAAAAAAAAAAAGAGGGAGAGAAGGAACCTCCAGGGTACCCCCCCCCCCCCCCGCAAAAAAAACCCCAACAACAACTACTACAAACCAGAAAAAGGAGAATAAATAAGTAAATAATACTAATGTCAACTGGTCTGGTACCAGTTGCGCCACCGTGCTGCAACATTAAAAACCAAAACCATCATGAAAGGAAAAAGACCCCACAATGAACATTTCACAGAAGCATCCCTTCAAACGGGATGCGCAAAAAACCCCACCCCAAGCAAAAACACCCATAATGTGACCTTCAAAAGGCCCTAGAGGAGGTCTGTACACTACCAAAAAAAAAAAAAACTCTCCATGCGGAATGTAATTAATGGTAATTTAAAAGAACGCATCGCAACAGTATTACAACAAAGTAAAGACACCCTTTTTACTTTTATTTTTTCATAACAATCAAAGAGTCACCATGTTAAGGGAAAAATCTGTTGTTTCCAAATTTCATGGTGTCAACAAATCCCAAAAAAGTTGGGACAAGTCCATTTTTACCACTGTGTGGCATCCCCCCTTCTTCTTACAACACTCAACAGACGTCTGGGGACAGAGACCAGTTTCTCAAGTTTAGAAATAGGAATGCTCTCCCATTCATGTCTAATACAGGCCTCTAACTGTTCAATCGTCTTGGGCCTTCTTTGTCACACCTTCCTCTTTATGATGCACCAAATGTTCTCTATAGGTGAAAGATCTGGACTGCAGGCTGGCCATTTCAGTACCCGGATCCTTCTCCTACGTAGCCATGATGTTGTGATTGCTGCAGAATGTGGTCTGGCATTATCGTGTTGAAAAATGCAGGGTCTTCCCTGAAAGAGATGACGTCTAGCTGGGAGCATATGTTGTTCTAGAACCTGAACATAGTTCTCTGCATTAATGGTGCCTTTCCAGACATGCAAGCTGCCCATGCCACAAGCGCTCATGCAACCCCATACCATCAGTGATGCAGGCTTCTGAACAGAGCGTTGATAACAACTTGGGCTATCCTTGTCCTCTCTGGTCCGGATGACATGGCGTCCCAGTGTTCCATAAAGAACTTCAAATTGTGACTCATCTGACCACAGAACAGTCTTCCATTTTGCCACACTCCATTTTAAATGACCCCTGGCCCAGTGCAAACATCTGAGCTTGTGGAGCTTGCTTAGAAATGGCTTCCTCTTTGCAATGTAGAGTTTCAGCTGGCAACGGCGGATGGCACGGTGGATTGTGTTCACTGACAATGCTTTCTGGAAGTATTCCTGAGCCCATTCTGTTATTTCCTTGACAGTGGCATTCCTGTTTGAGGTGCAGTGACGTTTAAGGGCACGGAGATCACGAGCATCCAGTAGAGTTTTACGGCCTTGACCCTTACGCACAGTGATTGTTCCAGATTCTCTGAATCTTTTGATGATGTTATGCACAGTTGATGACGATAACTTAAAAGTCTTTGCTATTTTACGCTGGGTAACACCATTCTGGTATTGCTGCACTATCTTTCTGCGCAACAATGTTGGAATTGGTGATCCTATTACCATCTTGGCTTCTGAGAGACACTAACACTCTGAGAAGCTCTTTTTATACCCAAACATGTTGTCAATTGACCTAATTAGTGTTAACTGGTCTTCCAGCTGTTCGTTATATGCTCAATTTCCTTTTTCCTGCCAGTTATTACTACTTGTCCCAATTTTGGGGGGGTTTTGTTGACACTGTGAACTTTTGAATCAACATATTTTTCCTTTAATATGTTACATTTACTCAGATTAAACTTTTGATCTGTCATCTATGTTATATTACGAATAAAATATTGCCATTTGCCATCTCCACATCATTGCATTCAGTTTTTATTCACAATTTGTTTAGTGTCCCAACTTTTTTGGAATCCGGTTTGTATGACTCGCTATGGAGATCCCTGAAGAAAGAAAATCCAAAAGAAGAAGAACAAAGAAGAAGAAGCGGCAGCCATTTTGGATTTTGATGTGGTAACCAAATTTTCATCAAGAACCTTTTTTCCACCTACATGTAGCCACACACTAAAGTGGAATTTGGCACCTCACTTATTTTTTAAGTTGTCATGCTCACAACATGCATGGGACTGACGGAAGGTACTTATTTTTCTAAATCCCCTTCTTCACTCTGCAACAGGGGACAAAAAGAAGCGAGAAGCCTTAGAGCAGCTGTCGTGCATTGT